CTTCCGAAGCCTGATTGATCTGTGCGTTTCGGAAGCGCAGATTGTTCGCCAGGAGAATAAAATGGTTTATACCGTCGGTGCACCTGTGTTCTGCCTGTGTTCAGTGGAGGGACAGACAGGGGACGGGATGTCATCTGTTTTTATTATTTCGACAGGGAGGAAAACTTGTTCCCTTTTGGTGCCGTTTGTGAAATAACTCCCTGTCTCTGCCGTTCTGAACTAATTCGGTATGGAAGCTGTTGAGGGCAGAGAACACATTAACTGTTGCCTACACAGCGGGTCTAATCATTGAACTGTGGGGCTCTGATATCCCTCACCCGGGTCCAAAGAGTCTTACAGCTACGTGCACCTGTAGAAAGCTGCACGGTTTGAGTTACCAACTGTGAAAGAAACATCCCATGTGTGTCTTAAGTGAGGAAATAATTACGTTAATTGTTAAACTGGCTGCTCAGGTCGGACCGCAAACCAACCTGGGACTGTGTGGTGGCTCTGTGGCTCAGGATCTGCCGTTGCCGGTTCAAATCCCACGGCCGGCAGAGGAATCCTACTCTGTTGGGCCCCCGAGCAAGGCCCTCAACCCCAGCTGCTCCAGGGGTGCTGTATAAATGGCCGACCCTGCGCTCTGACCCCCAGCTTCTCCCCCTGTCTGTGTGTCTCATGGAGAGCAAACTGGGGTCTGCGAAAATTCATAATCCACAAGACAAATTCCTAATCCAAGAAATTGTATATGGCTAATAAAGTGATCTGATCTGATCTTCTCTTAAACCAGAAGACACACCTCAGCTTCTAAGCCCATGGGTTGGTCAACCTCTGTAAATCTCTGCTCCTGCTAATCCTCAAGTCTCTAAGTGATCTTCAGCACCCGGGTTAATTAAGAGAAGGGGCTGCCCATAGAGAAGAAGGTCCAAAGTCTAGCGCCCCGTCTCTGCAGCGAGGGGGGGCGATCACGTGGCCGGCTGCGCAAACGGCGTCGCGGCCCCCCGGCGCGCACGCAGAGGCCCCGCCTCTAAGACGGGCGCCCCCCCCCGTATTCCAGAACCTTCTCTACGCCCCCTGCGCGACGTAGCTGCGGCGCGCTCCCGAGGCCCTGCGCACGCACCGCTGTTTTTCTGTCCGCCATTTTGTCCTGTGTCGGCAGGCAGCTTTCGCAGTGCTGGGGGGAGATCAAGCCAACTTTACGCGGCTATCGCAAAAAAACAAAAACAAAACATCCACCCATACT